TTTTCCCGGTCAGGGGGCCAGATAGATGACTCAGTCCCCCGGAGTAGAGAGTCCCCGACCACCACCACCCGCCTCCTTCTCTTGGGAGTGGTGGTCGTGGAACCCCCCATCTCAGGACAGCGCATCTCATGCCTTCCAACCAGCGGAGTCTCCTTCTGCTTTCTCCCTCCAGACATATCATCTGGTCCACTCTCCACAATGGTACCATTTCCCCTCTTAGTCTTCTTCTTTTTAAGATAAAGCAATCTCTTTTTATATGAGAGATTTTTCCATGTCTCTAATCATTCTCATCACCCTTTTCTGAGCCCCCTATAGTTCTGCAATAATCTTTTTGGATTGGGTGACAAATACTGCACACATTATTCCAGCACTGGTATTACACTAACACAGATGTAAAACAGTGGAGAATTAGGCCATAGGACTTGATCAGTTTTATAAATGGACATGCTCATAGACATTAATACCAAAAGGGACCATTATGTTCATCCAACCTGACCTCCTACATATGATATGCCATCGAACCTCACCCATTACATTTCTGCATCACACCCATAACTTCTGTTTGAGCTGTATCTTTGAGTGTATCTTTTAGAAAGACATCCGCTCTTGATTTAAGACTTCAAATGATAGAGAATCCACCCATCTCTAGGTAAATTGTTCCAATGGTTAATTACTCTCACCATTAAAAAAAAAAAAGTGCCTTATTTCTAGTATGAATTTGTCTGGGTTCAGCTTCCAACCAGTGAATCTTGATGCACTTTGTTCTGCTAAATTAAAGTGCTGCCTAATATCAGAAAACTCTTCCCCATACAGATATTTATAGATATCAGTTAAGTCACCCCTTAACCTTCTCTTGGATAAACTAAATAGACTGATCTTAAGACTGTCACCATAAGGTATGATTTCCAAACCCTGAATCATTCTTGTATCTCTTTTTTGAATATTTTCCAATTTTTCAACATCCGTTTTGAACACATTATTCCAGCAATGGTCTCACTAATGCTGTACACCAGAGGTTGGCAACCTCTCACACGCAGCCCACCAGGGAAAGCCCCTGGCCAGCTGGGCTGGTTTGTTTACCTGCTGCGTCCAGAAGTTTGGCCGATCGCAGCTCCCACTGGCCACGGTTCGCCACTCCAGGCCATTGGGGGCTGCGGGAAGGGCGGCCAGCACATCCCTCGGCCTGCACCGCTTCCCGCAGCCCCCATTGGCTTGGAGCGGTGAACTGCGGCCAGTGTGAGCTGCGATCAGCTGAACCTGCGGACGCGGCAGGTAAACAAACTGGCTTGGCCCACCAGGACTTTCCCTGGAGGGCCGCATTCCAAAGGTTACCGACCCCTGCTGTATACAGAGGTAATACCACTTCCCTACTCCTGCTTGATATCCCCCTGCTTGTACATCCAAGGATCATGTTCTCCCTCTTAGCTATATCATCACATTGGGAGCTTATGTTCAGTTGATTATATACCATGACCCCCAAGTTCTTTGCATTGTCACTGCATTTCAGGACACTAACTTCCATATTTTAAGACTAATCTACGTTCTTTGTTCTTAGATATATGATTTTGCATTTGGTAGTGTTAAAATGTATGTTGTTCAAATATGATCACCTTATCAAGAGATCCTGTTGGTCCATATAACTCACCCAAATCCCATCATTATTTACCACTCCACTGATATTTGTGTCACCTACAAATTTTACTAGCAAAAAAGGATGTTATATTGTCTTCCATATCATTAGTGAAGGTATTGAATAGCACTGGACCAAGAACAGAACCCATGGAACCCTGCTAGAAACACCCTCACAGGATAATGATTCCTTATTTACAATTACTTTCATCGTCTGTCACTATGCAAGTGACAATTAATAACAATTGTGTGACCATAAAGAATATCATCTGAAAAGTCTGATTCTTGACTTCACATGCTACTCCCTAGGATTTAATTCTTGAGGGGGCAGAGGCTAGGTGTGATGAAGATAATGTACTGGGGTTACTGTCTCCTCTGCCCACACCTCTCTGGTCATACACTGAACATAACTCTGCCTGAACAGAGAATGTAGACTGATAGATTCATCTGGATAGTAAACACTCCATGTAAAAGTGTATTTGTGCTCCCCACTACCCACACTGTAAATGATGACATTTGTATATATCAGCTTGTTTTGTAGAATCATTGATTGGTGTACTAAGATATCTCCCAAAGATCCAGCTTCTGCTAAAACATACATCTTTTGCAATCAGGTCATATAATTCTGAAAACTTTATTTGCTGATTAGGCAGACTACTAATTATTGTCAGTCTCAAAGGAGAGTTGCTTCTATAGCATTCAAATTATGATTGTATTCATGAAGCCCTTGTCTCAAACAGCTAATTAGATTACTGACATTAACATTTCTCTGAATATTGTGTACATAACAACATCGTAAAAGCAGCAGTTAGAATATCAAATAAAGCAAATTAAACATTTAGTCAGATTTCTATTTGCATGTGGTGAATCCAAGAACACGCATGTATGTACAAAGGTGGATATACTGTCAATAATATATAAATATAACTATCATAAGTTTGGTTTTGTTTTGTTTTCCAAGCAGGAATATTCCACCTGGTTAAATATGCACCAAGAAAATAGTGTTCCTCTATAGCATGGGGCACGGGTCACTTGCTGGAGGATTCTCTGCTCCTTGAAGTCTTTAAACCATGATTTGAGGACTTCAATAGCTCAGACATAGGTGAGAGGTTTTTCGCAGGAGTGGGTGGGTGAAATTCTGTGGCCTGCGTTGTGCAGGAGGTCAGACTAGATGATCATAATGGTCCCTTCTGACCTTAGTATCTATGAATCTATGAATCAATGTGAAATGTGACTCAAAGAAGAGACTTAGGGTATGTCTACACTACGAAATTTATAGAAGTCGAATTTATAGAAGTTGATTTTTTAGAAAGCGATTTTATACAGTCGATTGTGTGTCCCCACTAAGCACATTAAGTCGGCGGAGTGCATCCACAGTACCGAGGCTAGCGTCGACTTTCAGAGTGTTGCACTGTGGGTAGCTATCCCACAATTCCCGCAGTCTCCGCCGCCCATTGGAATTCTGGGTTAAGCTCCCAGTGCCTGATGGGGCAAAAATATTGTCGCAGGTGGTTTTGGGTACATGTCGTCAGTCGCCCCTCCCTCCGTGAAAGCAACGGCAGACAATCATTTCACACCTTTTTTCCATGCAGGCACCATACTGCTTTCAGCAGATGATGCAGTAGGACTGCAAACCATCATCATCGAACAACCGCTTCTGCTGCCACTCTGCTCTCCTGATGCTATGAATCCACCTTGCAGGTCCTCTATATGACAGTTGTTATCCACTGCTTCCACTGCCACTCTGCTGTCCTGGTGGTCTCGCAGGGCTACTTCCGCTGCAACTCTGCTCAGCTGCTCTTGTCTCGCCATACCCCGGCAAGAATGCAGCCTGCTCAGCTGTTGTGTCCTGGCAGCAGACGGTGCAGTAGGTCTGCAAAACTGGTCATTCAACCACCGCTTCCCCTGCAACTCTGCTCTCTTGCTCTCCTGCAGATGCCATACCACGGCAAGCATGGAGCCCACTCAGATCACTGCGACAGTTATGAGCATTGTAAACACCTCACACATTATCATGCAGTATATGCAGAACCAGAACCTGCAAAAGCAGGCAATGGCAGCGCAGTGATGAGAGTGATGAAGACATGGACACAGACTTCTCTCAAAGCACAGGCCCCAGCAATTTGGCCATCCTGGGGGCAATGGGGCAGGCTCATGCTGTGGAACGCCAATTCTGGGGCCAGGAAACAAGCACAGACTGGTAGGACTGCATAGTGTTGCAGGTCTGGGATGATTCCCAGTGGCTCCGAAACTTTCGCATGCGTAAGGGCACTTTCATGGAACTTTGTGACTTGCTTTCTCCTGCCCTGAAGCTCAAGAATACCAAGATGAGAGCAGCCCTCACAGTTGACAAGTGAGTGGTGATAGCCCTCTGGAAGCTTGCAACGCCAGACAGCTACTGGTCAGTCAGGAATCAATTTGGAGTGGGCAAATCTACTGTGGGGGCTGCTGTGATCCAAGCAGCCAATGCAATCACTGAGCTGCTGCTATCAAGAGTACTGACTCTGGGAAATGTGCAGGTCATAGTGGATGGCTTTGCTGCAGTGGGATTCCCTAACTGTGATGGGGCCATAGATGGAACGCATATCCCTATCTTGGGACCGGAGCACCTTGCCAACCAGTACATAAACCACAAGGGGTACTTTTCAAAGGTGCTGCAAGCACTGGTGAATCACAAGGGACCTTTCACCAACATCAGCGTGGGATGGCTGGGAAAGGTACATGACGCTCACATCTTCAGGAACTCTGGTATGTATGAACAGCTGCAGCAAGGGATTCACTTTCCAAACCAGAAAATAACCGTTGGGGATGTTGAAATGTCTATAGTTATCCTTGGGGACCCAGCCTACCCCTTAATGCTATGGCTCATGAAGCCATACACAGGCACCCTGGACAGTAGTCAGGAGCTGTTCAACTATAGGCTGAGCAAGTGCAGAATGGTGGTAGAATGTGCATTTGGACATTTAAAAGCATGCTGGTGCAGTTTACTGACTCAGTTAGACCTCAGCGAAACCAATATTCCCATTGTTATTACTGCTTGCTGTGTGCTCCACAATATCTGTGAGAGTAAGGGGGAGACATTTATGGCAGGGTGGGAAGTTGAGGCAAATCACCTGGCCGCTGATTATGCGCAGCCAGACACCAGGGCGGTTAGAAGAGCACAGCAGAGCGCCCTGCGCATCAGAGAAGCTTTGAAAACCAGTTTCATGGCTGACCAGGCTACGGTGTGAGAGTTCTGTTTGTTTCTCCTTGATGAAAACCCACCCCCTTGGTTCACTCTACTTCCCTGTAAGCCAGCCACCCTCCCGTCCCCCCTTCAATCAGCGCTTGCAGAGGCAATAAAGTCATTGTTGTTTCAAATTCATGCATTCTTTATTAATTTGTCACACAAATAGGGGGATAACTGCCAAGGTAGCCTGAGAGGGGTGCAGGAGGACGGGAGGAGGGAAGGACAAGGCCACACTGCACTTCAAAACTTACTGAATGCCAGTTTTCTGTTGATTGGGCAGTCCTCTGGGGTGGCGTGGTTGGGTGCCCAGAGTCTCCCGTCCCACATTCTTGGGCGTATGGGTGAGGAGGCTATGGAACTTGGGGAGGAGGGCAGTTGGTTACACAGGGGCTGCAGTGGCGGTCTGTGCCTTTCCTGCACCTCAACCATACACCGAAGCATATCAGTTTGATCCTCCAGTAGCCTCAGCATTGCATCCTGCCTCCTTTCATCATGCTGCCGCCACCTTTTCTCTTGATCCCAGCACCTCGACTGTTTCTCCAGCCATCTATCCTCTTGCGCGTCCCTCCTGTCCTTGCATTCATTTTGTGCTTTCCTGGACTCTGCCATTGTCTGCCTCCATGCATTCTGCTGGGCTCTTTCAGTTTGGGTGGACTGCATGAGCTCAGAGAACATTTCATTTTGAGTGCATTTATTTCGCCTTCTTATCTGCGCTAGTCTTTGGGACAGAGATGCTAGTCACAGGGTTGAAACATTTGCAGCTGCGGGAGGAAAAAAAGGGAGATTAAAATTGAAAAAGACACATTGGCCATTTAAAAGGAGGGGCTGATGTTTTCGGGTTAACGTGCAACACAAACCCAACTCACCCCCCCGCCCCACACACATCCAATTCTCTGGGATGATCGCTTCACCTCTCCCCCCACTGCGTGGCTAACAGTGGGGATGATTTCTTTTCAGCCACAGGCAAACAGCCCAGCAGGGACGGCCACCTTTGATGTCCCCTTAATAAAATTCCTCTATTTCAACCAGGTGACCATGAATGATACCACTCTTCTGAGGATACCAAAGAGAGATAAAGAACAGATGTTGCTTGAATGCCAGCAAACACCGGGACCACACGCTGCCATGCTTTCTTATGCAATGATTCCAGACTATGTGCTACTGGCCTGCTGTGGTAGTGTCCTACCATGGAGGATGCAATAAGGCTGCCCTCCCCAGAAACCTTTTGCAAAGGCTTTGGGAGTAACCCCAGGACAGCTTCACTGAGATGTCCCTGGAGGAATTCTGCCCCATCCCCAGACATGTTAACAGACTTTTCCAATAACTGCACTGGCCATGAATGCATTTCAAGTCTTCAGGGCAAATTAATCATTAAACACGCTTGCTTTTAAACTGTGTATTATATTTACAAACGTACACTCACCAGAGACGCCTTCTCTGCCTTCAAGGTGCGGAAGCCTGGGTTGAGAAGGTTGGGAGGGTATTGGCTCCAGGGTGATAAACAGTTCTTGGCTGTCGAGAAGAATGGTTTCTCCGCTTGCCTGGTGTGCGCTATCTTCCTCGTCCAGCAAATCCTCATCCCTGTTGCGTGAGACTCCCTTGCAGGAGTCCACGTACAGGTGTGGGGTAGTTGTAGGGGCACCCCCTAGAACTACATGCAGCTCATCATAGAAGCGGCATGTCTGGGGCTCTGACCCCGAGCGGGCGTTTGCCTCTTGGGTTTTTTGGTAGGCTTGCCTGAGCTCCTTAAGTTTCACGTGGCACTGCTGGGGGACCCTGTGATAGCCTCTGTCCTTCATGCCCGTGGAGATTTTTTTCAAATATTTTGGCATTTCGTCTTTTGGAATGGAGTTCTGATAGCACGGATTCATCTCCCCATACAGCGATCAGATCCAGTACCTCCCGTTCAGTCCATGCTGGAGCTCTTTTGCGATTCTGGAACTCCATGGTCATCTCTGCTGATGAGCTCTGCGTGGTCATGCCACGGTGGCCAAACAGGAAATGAAATTCAAAAGTTTGCGGGGCTTTTCCTGTGTACCTGGCTAGTGTATCCGTATTGAGAGTGCTGTCCAGAGAGGTCACAATGGAGCACTGTGGGATTGCTCCCGGAGGCCAATACTGTCGAATTCCGTCCACACTAACCCAAATTCAACCCGGCAATGTCGATTTCAGTGCTAATCCCCTCATCAGGAAGAAGTACAGAAATAAATTTTAAGAGCCCATTAAGTCGACAAAAATGGCTTCGTTGTGTGGACGGGTGCAGGGTTAAATCAATCTAACATTGCTAAATTCGACCTAAACTCGTAGTGTAGACCAGGGCTGAGACTCATGTTGTGGAAGAGGTGCCTTCTTCACTAGTAGTTTCAGCTGTTTCATTCAGAGAGGCTCTGGATGAACAGAGGAAAGAAGGTTAGAACCGGCAAGACTCTCTCATAGTTGGGAAAAAACTATGTGGAGGTTTAAGCACCGTTATGAATGGAGTTAATGTATCCATCTGGACAGACGTGATTCCAATAACACTTAAAAAATTGAGCAGGCCCTTTAGACTCACTTCTCAGAAAGGAAATAATGACATTACTGAAGAACAGTCCCATCCACGTCTGCCAGATCTTGCAGGCAGATCAGTCAACAGTATCAGATTAATTATCAGAGTATAAGATTAATCAAAGGGACATGGACCTCTGACTTTTGTCCATTGCCAAAAGATAACTTACCAAGGTAGCTAATGCAGTGTCTGTACTATGTCCAGGCCTAAAAGTAGACTGATAGGAAACCAAAAGAATCTGGAGCTGCCGTACTACAACCTTCTTAATAACCTCCCAAAAGGTCACGGATGTTAAAGCCAAGTGATGGCTTCTTGATCAGTAACTGACAAGGTCATTCAGGTGAAAAAGTTATTTCTTTGGCAATCACTGAGCTTCCTCAAACTTATCATTTTTAGAGACGATTATTGGGAAGACTGTAGTATGGCAATTCTGATGTCATCTTCCTTCCCAGATTCCTATAAAAGTATTCTCAGTGACTTTCAGTGAATTCTATAGGCAGACCTTGACATCATCAACTACAAAGTATTGGTGACCTGCCAGATCTCACAGACAGAGATGGAAAGTGTTATTCTCCCATAAGACCATGTTTTTCCTTTCTGAGAAATCTCAAATGGCAGGTCTGAGAGGTTGTTCATCTACCATAAAGGCCCTATCATGCACGATTCTGCAAGATTTCATTGACACTTTTCTTGCTAAATGTGTATCTGAGGTCACACGGAGGGATTGTGAGGCATCACTACCTTGCTGACATCAGTCTACTGCTAATGATACTCAGCTCCATATATCCTTTTCACCTGAAAGGTGGTGGGTTTTATTTTATTTTGCCATGTGCATGATGAGGATATGGACCTAGGCAACAATTAAATGACTGAAGTTCAGTCTAAATAAGATGGAAGCAATGACGGTCAAGAGAAGGTAGACACTGGAAGAATTATCAGAGGTTATGACTGCGCCATCAGTCCATCTAAATACACAATGCAACTGCCAAAAAGGTTTGTAACCCAGAACACATTTTGGCTGCCCTACTGCTGTTGGAGTCGATTGACAGCTATTATGGGATTTATGATGAAGATTTCATTTGAAGACAAAATATAAATTGTATTTTCCTTTTCAGCTTAAATTATTATATGGGGTAGGGGTAACCATAAAGAACAAAGTAATTTGTACTGGTCAGCTATAGCAATAACACTGTAGAAATTCAAAGACAACCTTTTTTGGGAGTGAGCTCAAAAAAGAGGCATAACAAGCGTTTCCGTATTTTTTCCTGTTACATTCTTATTTGCTATGTATGCACTCGTTTTTATGCAGTTGCTTGTCTTTTCTAAAAAACACACAGGAGTTATGTACAGTCTAGCAGCCTGAACTACACAGAGTTGACAGCAAGGGCAGGGCCAGGTAAAGTGCTGGAGAAATTACAATTGCAAAGATTAGGAGCAGGCATAACGCTTCTAAGGGACATTGGGGGGAAGCTCACTCTCTAGCACCTGTAAACAAGTATAGCCTGCATTGCCTCATGCACAGTCCCATAACCACTTGTTGGCGTGCAAGTTAGAGCACAGGCCCTACATCTCTGGAGAAATTGGGTCCTATTTTTCAGAGGTACTGAACACTCCTAGCTCTCATCAACTTCAGCTGGAGCTTTTCACACTGGAAGCCCATTTTCCCCACCATTTCTTGTAGTCAGGCTATATAACATCCACCTATTGGCTATCTCACACAGGAACTCTCTACACCAACTACCCTACCTACACTGGAGCACTATAGTTGGGCCAATACAATTTTATTAGACGTACCTGATGCTGTAGCACAGCAAATTGAACCTAGATACCCTGTAATAACTAAGAACAAAGTTTGAGTCAGTTATTGTTCCTAGGCAGCAGGCAGAACCTTGCACGGTATTCCCATATTACTGTATACCACAACTGACGCTTGTCAAGGACCCTTGTGCACAAAAAATTATTTGTACACCAAAGAACAGATTAGCATAATACCATTGAATTGCTTCCAATTTACAGTTGAAAAACAACATTCAAATAAGGCAAAAATAGTTTATATAGGTTTCCTAGAGTTGCAATTGTTCAGGGCTATGGAAATGAACTTTCTGAGGCAGACGAAAAGGAGCAGCACAAACAATATGGAAGGATTATAGAATCCTGCGCAGATACAGAAATGTGTATTCGCATCAGACTGCAGATATCCGCATCCACTGTCTGCAGATATCCGTGGATTTGCAGGGCTCTACTTACCTGGCGGGGCTGAGGCTCCGAGGCACCCCCCACCAGAACCTCATCGGGGAGATCCGCACGAGGAGCTGTGAGGAGCCCGCGCGGCATCGCAGACCCTCCACGTGCCCTCGGCCAGGCAAGGACCTGCAGGTTGGGGACATGGATGAGGGCTGTTCTCAATCCCACCCCCCAACACTGCAGGCAGGTGGAGGGTCCACCGTGATTCCCCACAACTGCCCACCCGGGTCTTATTGTGGCCGGGCTGTGGCTCTAAGCCACCCCTCCCCCGTACCACCTCCCCCCCCCATCTCTCCAATGGCTCGCAACGGCCAACAGCGCCTCCCCCTCCCTCCCTGCACCTCCCGCCCATCACAATTTGCTGTTTTGCAGCGTGCAGGAGGCTGGGAGGGAGGGGGAGGAGAGAGGATGTGGCATGCTCGGGGAAAGGGGTGAAGCCGGGCGTGAAGAAGTTGGGGAGAGTGGGGTCTTGGGTAAAGAAGTGGAGTGGGGGTGGGGGCAGGGCCGGGGGCAGAGCCAGGCGTCAAGCACCCCCTGGCACTTTGGAAAGTTGGCACCTGTGGTCTTCACAACATCCCAGGCAATGAGTTCCACAGGTTGACTGCGCATTGTGTGAAGAAGTGCTTCCTTATGTCTGTTTTAAACCTGCTGCTATTAATTTCATTGGGTGACCCTCAGTTCTTGTGTTACGTGAAGGGATACATAACAGTTCCTTATACACTTTCTCCACACCATTCATGATTATATAGACCTCTAACCAGACATGCCAAACCTGCAGGAAAAAACACAGAAATTGGGCATTTTTTTTGGCTTAATTGGCTTGTGAGTTGCTTGTTGGGTAGTTTTTGCCTTGTAGCTTGTTGCTTCATTTTTTTTTATTGGCTCCTGGAAAGCAGTGGCAGGGGGAGGGGAAGCAGGGGAAAGTGGCAAGCACGGGCAAGCGGGGAAGAGAGTCAGGGGTGCACAGTGGGCCAACCACAGTTTCAGACTACATGCCGAGGGGATCTAGTTACATAGAGTGTTGAGGTTCTTAGGGATTGGCTTGTTTTGAAATGGGATTAGCTTAGTTTTTGGCTTATTGAGAAAGTCGGGGTGCTTATTTAGCATATGAAAGTTGGCAACTGTGCCTCTAACATATCCCCCCTTAATCATCTCTTTCCTAAAATGAACAGTCCCCGTCTTTTTAATCTCTCCTCATATGGAAGCTTTTCCAGACTCCTAATAATTTTTGTTTCTCTTCTCTGTACTTCTTCAGTAGTAGTAGGGAGGACTTGAACCGGGGATTCCCATATCCCAGTTGAGCCTCCTAGCCACTAGGCTAAAAGTCATAAGGGAGGGCAATCTTCCCCCCCTCATCGTTTTGTTTTGTTTTGTTTCAGGCCCCACACTCAATTTAGGCATTCAGACACTTATCTTCCCCAGGTTCATGAATCACAAGCAGTTTCAGTGAAGACACTACCTACGCCGACAGGAGTAGCCCTCACTTCGGCATAGGTAATCCACCTCTCCAAGAGACAGTAGTTAGGTCAATGGGAGAATTCTCCCATTTACCTAGTACTGTCTACACTAGGGATTAAGTCGGTTTAACTGCATCATTCAGGGGTGTGAATTTTCCTGTCGAGGGTGGGGAACTGGGGGCTTTGAAATTTGAGTGATGCTGATGCTTGAGCTAGGGCTTGTCTACACTTGAAACGCTACAGTGGCACAACTATAGCACTGCATTGCAGTACTTCAGTGTGACACAACCTACACCGACTGCGTAGTTACTCCACCTCCCTAAAAAGGGATAGCTAGCTCAACAGAAGAATTTTGTGTACATGCTATCTACAACAGGGCTTAGGTCCGATGCCGCTCTGGGTGGATTTTTCACACCCCTGAATGATGGAGCTGGGTCAACCTAAATTTTTAGTATGGACAAGGCCCTAGTAATGCTGAGGGGAAGCAGCAGCTTGGGTTAAAACTGCTCATCAACTAATCCAATCATTCTGCTAATCCAATCACTCTGTGCTGCTAATCAAATCACTGTGTGCGTAATTCCAGTGTTGTTTTGAAGTGCAGTAACTCAATTGTACTAACTCCAACGAACTGCTGCAGTGATGTCAGTGAAGACAAGCCCTTAGACTATAGCTGCTGCAACTCTAGCCCAGTTACCAGTAATTGGGAAGCAGAGTTTAAGTAGTCCCTAAAACTGCTATCCAACTGTCTCTACCCACCAAATGCAATAAGGACTGGTCTCTAGACAGAACTGGCCAACAAGCCCTAAACCAACCTGAGCCTGTAGGCAGGGCCTAGCTTAAGCTGTTCCAGTTTCGGTGGAAATGGCAGAAACTCAGTGAAGTTAGTTCTCACTGAAACAAGCTGTAAATTCCTTCTTCAGGAGAGAGGTGTTTCTAAAAACTGCCTTAAAATTAATCTAGATTTGCCTCCCAGCTGAGTGAGACTTGGCAGCATCTCTGAGCGCCTACCCCGCTTGAGGACGCCATGCGGCTTTCCCGGGGATGATTTCTCGTTGCCTCAGCGCCCTCTGTGGACTCTGATGGGAAAGGAGCTGCCTTTCAATCTCAGCCCGCGCCAGACGTCAAGAGGTGCCTGAGACACACGCACGGGATCCAGCGTGTGACATTGCAGCGTCTGTGCGGATTTCCAGCCCTGCGAACCGGGGAGGGGGGAGCACATGCGCTTCTTGCAATTTTTAACCTACGCCTAGCTAGGAAGGGGCTCGTCGCCGTTCAAGGGCAGGCTCGGGTCTAACATACCGAAGTCTCCCAGTGTGTATCAGGGAATCCCATTAGCTCCCCCTAACGCACGCGGGCTTTCATACAACAGATGCGGCCATACAAAGACCCCCTGCAGCCGAGACCCAGGGGCGCAGGCTGAAGGGCTCGGACCCAGCCTCTGGGGAGCAAACTCCACCGCCAAGCGCGGTGCAGCTCAGCCAGCCCGGGAGAGAGAGGAGTAAGAAATCACAGCAGAAAGAGGGCGGGCACAAATGAAGCTAGAATAGGCAAGGGAGCAGGATGTGTTATGCCGGTGAACACTGCGCTATAAATAAGCAGGTTTCTAAACGGTGTTTGGGCGGCTTCATCAAAGGAGCAAAATGGATACAGCCCTCCCCTTCCCGGTGTCCCCACAACGGTGATCATGGCGGCGGCTGCTGTTGCTGTTGCTCTTTCCCCTTATCTCCCTCCCACCCCAGCGCCAGACGCAGTGTCTCAGCTCGGCGCAGAGTGACCTTTCCCCAGCGCAGCCGGGAGAAAGGAGAAATGAGGAGAAAGGCGCGCCTAGGAATTCCCGCCCTGCGCGCCTGGCCTCACTTAAGCATATGCAAATAAACCCTCTTCCTGATTGGCCACTGCCCGATACCTCCTTTGAAAAGGTGGCCCTTCATTGGCTGACTGATAAAGTTAATGCAAATTACAGAATCTTGCTCCGCCCCCCCCCTTTTTTTTGGTAGCGTGTGATGAGAATTTCAGACAGTGTAACTGTGCGCGTCTATTACTACAAATAAGTAGTTCCAGTCCCCCCGTCCCTTGTATTTACTGTGGGCTGGGACTCTGCAGTCCCCGCCAGAGCCGGAGACCGCACGAAGACATCCCAGCGCGCTGTGCTCTAGGGGAGGGGAAGAACTCCGGAAGGCACAACGAGGTGTTTTCCCACTCCCCCGCGGAGGGATATTTGTATCTCTCTTCCCCGCACCAAAACATTGAGAGTTAAGAGGCAGCTCCTGCTGTAATTGAGCTCAGAAGTGAGCAGGCACCGAGAAGGCTGCGCTGCTGCTGCATCAGGGGTACGGCTTCACTGCGGCGCTGGATTGAATTCGCCGTCACCCAGCGGCCCCGAGCAAGCGTCCTTCTCGCCGGGGCGGATTTTACCCACTTTCTCTGCAGCCCCGCTGGCATCTGGGGTTGCGTTTCAGCTGCGCTGGGCGGTGGGAGAAGCAGAGCATCGCCCTCGTTATTGATTGCTTTTTGTCGACGGGCTCCACGCCGCTTCAGCTTGGATTCTTTGTGGCTGTTTATTTCTGGAGGCGTCTGCCACCCTCTGCTACAACATCAACTGCTGCTGGTGGACTGGGGAGAGCAGAGCAGGAGCCCAGGCAGCCGCTTCGCAGCTCCCCTCCCGGGTCGGGCAGGAGATCGCGCCGCTCCTTCCCAGCAGATCGTTAATTGAATAATTAGCCCGGAGGACACTCTCTACGTTTCGCTGTAGGATCTCTTTCCTCCCCCTTCCCCCGGCTCCTCTGGAAGATGTTGCTCTCCAAGTTTGGCTCCCTCGCTCACATTTGCAACCCCACCAGCATGGATCACTTGCCCGTGAAAATCCTCCAACCAGGTACGCAGTTAGCGACTCGCTCGTTGTGACCCAGCCACGGTGCGGTGCCCGTCGCTTTTTAATGGGGAGTTTGCAAGCTCCGAGGATTTCTCGGCTGTCACATTCCCCGCTAGCGTATCGCCGCGTAGGGATGGGCACAGCTCCCCTGTTCGCTGGGTTGTTATGGGAGAGTGCGCGGCGTCCGCGTCCCTCCCAGTGGGGCGTGTTGGATATTTTGGCTCTGGGTGGCTGCTTGTCGGATCGCTGCTGTCGTGTCGCACCAAAACCCGCCTGGTTTCCCCTTGCTCGCTAGGTTTAGGACGAAGAGCTGCATGTGCCGGTGTGAACAGCCATGCGGCTCCCCTGGCCGGGCTTCCTCTCGCCTGCCTCGTGTCCTGCCTTCTTAATAATAGAGCGACTCCAACCCCCCACTCTTAATTTGTTTTCCCGTTTCTAGCGAAATCGGAGAAGGAGCCCTTCGATAAACTCTACCAGGTGGGCTCCGTGCTGGGCAGCGGGGGCTTCGGCACCGTGTACGCGGGGACCCGGATAGCCGACGGCTTGCCGGTAAGGAGAAGGGGGGGGCTATTCATGGCTGCGTAGTTGTGTCTTGCTGTCTGCTCGGGGCGGCGTGTGCGTGGCTGCAGGGTCGCGCGTCGCAGCCGCCCCAGCCCTCTCCGCCGCTGCAGAGCGGGGAAGGCTTTCCCCCACCCCGCTCTGACGGCGCCTGGTCTCTCTCCCCCCAGGTGGCCGTGAAGCATGTGGTGAAGGAGCGAGTAACCGAGTGGGGCACCATCGTAAGTATTCGCCGGGGAGCGGGTGTAACCGCGCGGTGGGTGCGAGAGAGGCTGGGAGCCGCCCGCCCGGCAGTCACCCTGGGTGGCTATTGTTTGGGTGGCGAGAGGGCTGGGTCCCCCGCCCGCCCCTGTGTTACTGTTTACAGCTGGGGGGGGGGGGGATTTTGGCGGGGTTTCCTCCCGCGGCTCCTCCCTCTCTGACTGCGGCAGCCGCGGAGCCCCCCAGCGGAGCGGCGCTGGACTTCCCCAGCCCCCGCGCTGCTGCGGGAGACTCGGTGCCCAGCGCGCGGGGTGTGTGTGCGCCTCCACCCGGCGGAGTGCGCGTGTGGGGACGGGCGGGAGGCTGGCTGGCTTCCCCGCCTGGGCTGCCCGGTGAGTGACCGCGGCCCTTGCCTCTTTGCGCTGCCCAGAGCGGAGCGATGGTGCCCTTGGAGATCGTCCTGCTGAAGAAGGTGGGCTCCGGCTTCAGAGGGGTCATCAAGCTGCTGGACTGGTACGAGCGACCCGACGGCTACCTGATCATCATGGAGCGGCCCGAGCTGGTGAAGGATCTCTTCGACTTCATCACCGAGAAGGGGGCCCTGGACGAGGAGACGGCCCGGGGCTTTTTCCGGCAGGTCCTGGAGGCGGTGCGCCACTGCTACACCTGCGGCGTGGTGCACAGGGACATCAAGGACGAGAACCTGCTGGTGGATCTCAGGACGGGCGAGCTCAAGCTGATCGACTTCGGCTCCGGAGCCATCCTTAAGGACACTGTCTACACCGACTTCGATGGTATGTGCCCCTCCCATCCCCAAAATGCCTCCGTGCGGGTGAGACAGCAAAGCCCTGCGCCGGAGCTTACCCGGTGCGCTCTCCCGGCGTGGTTGTTAGTCACTTTCTTAGCTCCTGACAACAACAAAAGGTGGCTCTGCAGCTGCAGTAGCTGGTAATGGATCTGCGGGTAATTTACACCTGTGCCCCGGAGGCGCTTGGGGGTGATCTGTTGAGTAGGAAAGAAGCGATTTCAGGCAGTGACGCAGCAGTTTATATTTCCCTACCTTGGAAAAGGCATTTTTCCTAGAGGGCGATCTGTTTACATTGAGGCTTCACCAGCGCCAGGCGTTCCCATCTGTGTTATATGCAATGCATGTATTTGACTTGTAATCTGAACGAATTACTCACAACCCAGCTGATGCCTGCATTGGAGATTTAAAATCCTGGGATAAATTATATATGCCCCTTAAATGACTTAAATTCTGGCTTTTTTTAATATAGGAAAACTGAAATGCTTCTTGCACATAGATGGAAGAGCTGGGGGGTTTTTTGTGGATTATTTTTTGTTTGTTTTTGGTTTTTTTTTTTCCCTTGCTGTGAGTGTGCCTGATATAGATGAGGGACTTCCCCCTCCCCTTCTCTGTTGTCAGCTGCTGCACTTAACATCTGTTTTGTTGTGAAACCCGAACCTCCTGGCCATGTGACCGTCAGCATCACAAATTCCAGTTTTTGTTTGGTATCCAAGGAACAGCCTAGTGCCAAGGGAGGGCGGTTTCTAAAAGCCTTTTCAGAGCGGCGGAATAGCCTTTTTTAATTATTCTGAAATACTTGTTTGTGAGCAAGTCTGTATTTTGTTCACACTGTCTTGGAATTGGATAAAGCCGATTAGCTGTATGTAATAAGGTAGACCTGAGGTTCACCTTCTGTTTCTCTTCTCCTCCCCCCCCCCCCCCCCTTTCCCTTTGTCCTTTTGTGTCTATTTTCGGTGTGATGCTGTAGACACCACATGGTCAGTGAAAGGGAGCCATGCTTTAGTAAACAGTCAGCTGATGGAAGCCCTGTTATTCATCACAACAGAACAGCACAAGCTAAGGGTCTAAATGTATTCATGGTGTAACTGTAGCCAGACTCTCTGGACTTTCACTGGGGATGAATTTGGCCCACTATGATTTTTGAATATTTAGAATTTTTTAGTCTTGTGTGGTTTGATATGAATGTGCAGCTCAACTAAAATGTTAAGGGAGAAAATAAAACTTAGTTTGCTTATGTTGTGGGGGGGGGGGTGTTGTGTTTTTCATTTGTAGGAACAAGAGTGTACAGTCCTCCAGAGTGGATCCGATACCACAGATACCATGGGAGGTCAGCAACAGTGTGGTCCTTGGGAGTGCTCCTGTTTGATATGGTTTGTGGAGACATCCCTTTTGAACAAGACGAAGAGATCTTGAGAGGACGGTTATACTTCAGGAGAAGAATATCACCTGGTGAGCTCAAACACCAAAAAATTACTAACACTTAATTCATGATACTGGGTGATTTTCTGTTTGAGGTTCTTTTTGCTTTCTAGTTTAATGTCTGTTTAACTCATCTGTTTCAGAATGTCAGCAGCTGATCAAATGGTGCCTTTCACTGAGGCCTTCAGACAGACCAACACTTGAACAAATTTTTGACCATGCATGGATGCACAAATCTGAAGTAGTGAAGTCTGAGGACTGTGACATAAGGCTACGGACCCTTGATACTGATGTATCTAGCACAAGTTCAAGCAATGAGAGTCTGTGAAACACTAAGGACCTCGCAATGGGAGGGGAGCTACAAGCAGAAAGACCACAGTGCTGCTGCCAATACGTAGGAGGGGCTAGAAAAATGCATTAATTATTCTGTAGTTGAATCTTTGTCTGAGGGACTTGATTTTATTTTCCCCTTTTGCTGGTTTCTGCTTTGGAATGAGAAATTTCCTTTGGAAACGCTGTTGTTTGGGAGTTGCAGGCCAGTACTTAGTCAAAAGACTGACCTTATTAAGAAAGCAGTGACCTCTTGAATACATGGTAAACTTTTTTGCTCTCATAGAGCCTGGACTAGATTTTTATTTGCTTTTGAGTGCCTTTTTGAAAGCTGCTTCAGTGGGACTTTCTTTTTTGAGCTGTGTATGTCCAAAGAAGATCCAGTTCATTATAGGATTTTGCTCCCTTTAGACTGAGTGCTGGAGGAAGCAGCTCCTATGATGCATTGGAGAACATGTTCGGTGATTGAATGAAGTAGTCCCATCCACTGGTGATGGAATACTTGAACACAGACATTTCACTCCTTCCAGTCCCTGTCCCACCCCCGAACCCACCTCTGCTGCTCCAAAATATTTCCTGTAGACTGCATACAAATATGAACAGGTATATCAGCTTTTTTATCAGGAACATTCACTCTTGGTTTCTTTTATTTTTTTTTTTTTTATCATCTTTACCACTGGGCATGCGAAGCCCCTTTCTCAATCCCACCCTCCCTCCGCCCCCTCCTTTTGTCAACCTGCGAGTCTTAAAGTATGTATGGGCATGTTTAAATGCACAATCAATGCAATATTCAAGGACTTTACTTTTTTCCATACCTGTATAATGTGTTTATGTAAATTTGGTTTTCCCATGTATTATACAGTTTTTTATTTATTTGTTTGAAGTTTTAGAAGACCTCCCACAGTTTCAACTGTGGCTATTTATTTGCTTAATTTATTTGGTTAGAGTTATATTCAACACTGCTTTCCCCCTCCCCCATGGGAATTCTAGTGGTTTGCCCATGACACTCTTTTCTGCATTCCTGTTAACTTTTGTTCAAAAAACAAAACAAATTTTTTTTCTGACTTTACCAGTTTCTGTTGGAAGATGGAAAATTGTTGTTGTACAAAGTCTAATTTAAGGGAAATAGAATGACTTTTTAAAGTTTAGTATGCCTTCATCTGGTATTGTACCAGAAATGTAAAGTAACGCTATTTGGAAGGGTTTTAAATTATTGACATTGTACAGTCTTTGTGTATTGGCTCTGGAAGGTAGGGTGGCAGAGTCATAAACCTTAATTTATTTTAATAGCTGTGTTTCTGTGATCTGGTTGCATTTGTGCAGCTTGGATTTGGATTTTTTTCCTTCTGTTTAACAGTGTGAAATGTATGGAGATCATATTTTTTATACAGGTATTTCAATTAAACTTTTTTTGTATATAACAGTACTGTATTGTGTATTCACTTGTACTCAGAATTACATTTCAGACCACACAGGGAAGAAAGCGGTTATATTATAAATATTTGAAGAACATAACTTTAAGGGGCTCCAGCAGCTGAGCCAGAGAATTAATAGGCTCTAGCCAATCTTCTTTTCAAACTGTTCCTATTTGTTCAGACACACTCACTTTGACTACATCTATGTGAATTTCCTTCAAAAAACAAAAATGATGCTGCTATATAGAACATCACAAAAGAAATTAACCACTACTTATGGATTTTGAATATGCTGGTACTTCAACTATTGTTAACACCCTCCTAAACCATAACAAAGAAGCCTTTTCCCACTTAATTATGGGTTACTATTTCACAACTGGATGTAGTGGAAAGTAACTTTACCCCCATTTTGGGAGAGGAAAAATTTCCTGTGCATCAATCTGTACAATGAGTCCAAGAAAGGATGGCAGTTTCAACTAATACACTTTTGAGAACATGAACACTTTTGATTCAGAGAAGTTAGCCAGCAAACTACTCAAAATACAATATTCCCCCTACTATTTCAAATTTTATGTTTGGAAGCAAATGTGATAGCCCAGTTTCACAATATATGGGCCAATAATGAAATCAAGCCTAGGGTTGTGATTGCCATGGAAACAAGTGAATATCAAATTCAGCCTTCTTGTTTTATTGAATAATCAGTTAATTAGGGGTGAAGAGAAGCAGAAATGCCCACTTTTTTGAAGCTTGTGAAGTTTGACTGCAAGATTCCACTATTATAAAAAGCCACGTTATAGGTTACTACGTTGAAGCGCTACTATGCAATACCTATGATAATAGTGAAAGTCAGGACTTTAAAACTTTTTTGCTTCTCCCCCCCTGCTCCCACCCCTCAACAAGCTTTATTTTCCTTTCCTGGGAGCCCTGTCTTCTGCCAGGTCATTCACTGATATTTAGGTTTCCTGTGGGCAATCATCCTCTCTGACATAAGGTCAAACTCTTGAGGTTAATAAGGTTAGACTGTAAATGCCACTGACTAGCAGGAGGTAAAGCAAAAGTGGGAAGGACACATATTTTCTTGCAGTTTTGTGATGGAAATAGATATGAAAGGAGTTCAGGTCTTTCTCTTCATAAAGCGGTATTCTAATTATTTCAGGTTTCAGAGTAGCAGCTGTGTTAGTCTGTATTCGCAAAAAGAACAGGAGTACTTGTGGCACCTTTAGAGACTGACACACTTATTTGAGCATAAGCTTTCGTGAGCTACAGCTCATTCAATGAAGTGAGCTGTAGCTCACAAAAGTTTATGCTCAAATAAATGAGTCAGTCTCTAAGGTGTCACAAGTACTCCTGTTCTTTTTTTTCAGATAGAGACTAACATGACTGCTACTCTGAAACCAACATTATTTAAATAACTTACATCCAGGGAAACTGAGAGACTTTACAAATCATACACTATGAAAAGAACATTAAGGCTAGAACCTGAGGGTTTTCTCTTTTGCAATCGTTCAGACAACTGTTTTTGGTTGTAAGATGTGTTCCAAAAGCCTTTTGAAGTTCTTTAGAGAAGCACATGTCCGGCCACAAGTAGTCCCTAGAGAAATTCCAGTAGCTGATGATAATTAACATTTCCACTCCAGTAGCTTCATACATACCAGCAGCTGTTGAGAGTGGTGTCAGTGAGGCCTACCATTATGAGTAAGTTTCAAAGGGATACCAAAAAAGCAACCCTAAAAGCATAGTTGTAAATCTATTAAGTGTCAAATGAATGTCTGAATTGGGGACTGTCTACATTTTCCACATGTACATTTTACAGGCCATGCCTTACATTCATAGAAAACCACTGATGAAATGATCTGTTTTGCAATTGAAAAACACATTTTCACCTTTTGCTACTGAGGCGAAATATATTAAAAGGAAAAAGGTCAAAAGGACACCAGAGTTAGTGCTGACTATCCACTGGGATTAGTTCAACATAAAAGGTATATTCTCAAAATGATGCACAAGGCTTTAGCTGTGCAGCTCCCCTATGTTCTAATGGGAGCTGAATGGCTAGAGTACCATATCCTGAGTGGATAATAATTATTTGCAAAACCAGGTTTATACTACAGCTGTAGGTTTGCAAATGACCTTTGTTTGTACAATTCTATTAACTGGCTTTGTGTGCTAATACATCTGTGGCTGCTCTTGGTTTTAGCAGGACTGCTGCCAGTTAAGCATTGATTTTTAAAATTTAATTGTTCAGGGACTCTTTTCCTTATTGCCTCCTCTCTGCATAGGAGGCTGGATCTTGACATTGCAAAATATGGAAAGTAGCATTAATTAGATCATGGAAGATTCTAGTTGTTAAACATCAGAACCCTGTTTGAGTTTTACACTCTGATTTAGCTGGCAAGCAGGCCTATTTATGTACACCATTAGCTCAGCTCTGATTTCAAACTTTTTTAGGTACTAAATGTACTTTTATAAATCAATGTTATCTTTTCTGCGATACAGCTGATAAACATCTTCTTAACAACCCTTTGTATTCTATATGCATAATCATGCTATTGTATTGTTTTTTCCAGTTACTTAACCAAAATGATTTTTATTTAAGTGTGCAAATTAGAGCTCTTTTAAAAATGTAGTAGACTGTCATCAGAAAACTTGTTCAGGGTGTGTTCTCCCAAAATGCTGAAAGAAAACCATTAAACCTGTGGTGGTTTAGTGACCTCTGTTGGTGAAACTAAAGTATATCTTCTGAAAAATATGATGTCCGAGTCCTGCAGAGTGGTTTTTAACATACTGTCCATTGACTTGTAGCTTTAGGAGCAGAAAGAGGGGTGCAGAATTGGATTTAAATATTTCATAAGATTTGAAAGGCTGCCATTATAAAGAATTCATAGTAGACAAATTAAGAGCATATACAGAACCAGGTTTTCACCTCTAGAACCTCGTCAGGCAATGCAGGATAGACAATAAGCTTAGCTGTTGCAGTGCAGTCCTTGGGAGAAAAACACAACATACCTTTTACCCCATTTTGGAAGTTAACAATCTGATTAAATGAGTTGAAAAAGGGACAAGTGTGGAGCATGAATTTAAAAAATAGTCAACTCTGCATGGCTATGTCTACACTGTATGTTTAATGCAGGTGATTGGCCCCCACATCTGTGCACCCAGGTTAGCCTAGCCTGGATGTGAGCATCCCCACTGCAAAGACATACTCATGTTACTGTGAGTTCACTGTTTCTGCACTTGCTGATGTGTGTCTGGTGGCATATGCCATGTTTTTTGTGTTGAGACGCTCTAGGATTCATCCCAGTCAATTGTGTCAACTGCAGGAGAATTTATCTGTCCTTCAGGGGGAATTGTGCAAAGGGTAGTCAACACTGGAGTGTTTTAGCATATGTCCTCGCTGTATAGTGGGTGGGTTCGAGCCTGAGTTAAAGCTAACCCATGCCCACACTCTGGTAAATTTGTGAAATATAAACAGCTGTTTAAAGCATCTCCAAACCTGGGTTAGAGATTTTTGTGTGTGGATGATGGTGGGAGGGGTTGGTCTAAAATGAAGGTAATAGTCCAGGTAACTAGGAATCACCAAATTAAATTAATACGCAACAGGTTTAAAACAAACACAAGGAAGTATTTTTTCACACAACGCAGTCAACCTGTGGAACTCCTTGCCAGAGGATGTTGTGAAGGCCAAGACTATAACAGGGTTCAAAAAATCAACTAGATAAATTCATGGAGGATAGGTCCATCAGTGGCTATTAGCCAGGATGGGCACGGATGGTGTCTCTTGCCTCTGTTTGACAGAAGCTGGGAATGGGCGACGGGATGGATCACTTGATGATTACCTGTTCTGTTCATTCCATCTGGGGTACCTGGCATTGGCCGCTGTCAGAAGACAGGACATTGGGTAAGATAGACCTTTGGTCTGGTCCAGTATGGCTGTTCTTAGGTTCTTAACTGTGCAATTTAGCCATACTCTTTATTAAATTTGAGATTGTTGCTGGAATAATATATCTATCCAGGTTCTTAGATGGCTTTCATCATCACAGTATCTGGGCACATGTTTCAAAGTCTGTACTGGGTTTTGCTCCAAGAAGACTGCAGCTTCAATCACCATGAGAGAAACTTGTCCTCTAGCACACAAACATACAAATAATAATAGTATTTTAAATGGGATAACAATGTGCCAGAGCTTTATGGCCATTTCCCCCTGTTGTTAGTTTCATTTTCCTATGAGTAGAATGACAAAACTACTACAGAAATATGAGCTCATGGCCATCAGTTGCCTATGGGGCAGCTGGAGGTTTAGCAGCTTAATTTCTCACAGTTGACATCAGCATCTCTGTACAAGTAAAAAGAGGTTCCTGTAATGTTACTGTATCCAAGCAGATATGTAGCTCACTGTGGTTCTAAATTACTGACTGGTTAGCTGCAAGGTTACTAGTGCTTTAAACCACTAATATACTTGCCTGAGGCTTTCCCTTAGGTAATGGTGGCTTACCAAATACACACTGAACTTTGGTCAGACTGCTTTATTAGAGCTGCAGAGCAGTTGAACTAAGCGAAAAGAGAGACCCAAAATCATGTAATTAAAACAAAGACCTAAAGGCAAGGTGCCCACACTTTGGGGGCACCAAGCATTATATTGGCACCTGATCAGGAGCAGAGGCCTGCACCCAATTTGCATATATCTGCTTGTACTCTCTTCCTTGAGACAGGAGTAAGAATTGCATGTTGTTTGAGTTCAGTAAAAAAAAATCTGGGGCCACATATTTTTAAGCAGAAAAAAACAAAAAAGATACCCAAACAGTTTGTACCCCCCAAAAATGCCCAATGCCAGAGACTGAGAGGTCCAACTAGAACATTCACTAGTCTTCCTGATTTTACACGGAAAGCACTCAGGCTATAGCCACAAATGGACATAGCCATGGCAATGCTCAGCATTCCCACACCCAACTTTTAGTTGCCCTGTTGCCCAGCGGACTCCTCAGCCTCAAGTTAGGCATCCAGATTCCTGA